AAGCCAATGAGCCTTTTTGACACGACATAACCTTTTCACGCTTAATTCTGGTGCTAATGCAGAAAAGTAGTTCGAGATTCGTGAAGAGTATAGTCTAGGTACAGCTCCTCGTACGGCTTGGAACTGGTTCACGGGATTAATTGATGGAACTTTTGATACTGTGAACCTGCATAGCACCGACTCCGTCTTGGATTCTAGGAGAAACGATTACATACGGAGCCATGCTTGAAAGCTTTGAGTCTCTCTCTAGATGTGAAAGCACTCCACGGTCTCATCAACTTCTCCGTGTTTGGCGTGGGTCTTCGTAAATCAGCGCAGGAAGGGCCTCTGCGACGGTGCTTGCCTTTGACGTCGAAGCTGGATTTTTTTCCATTGGCCTCACCTCTTACAAACCTTTCTAGTAGCCGCTGCTATCTAACCGTACTTCATAAAGGAGCATTTCAAGCTTATTCAAAAGTAACAAGAAAAGGGTGTCAAAAATGTTCGTTTTAAACGACATAACTCTCACCTTCGGCCACTCAATTGTTGGGTGAGGATTCAAATAAAGAGGAGAGTTGAACTGACACAGCCCACCACGAGGGAAACGCTAAGCACAGGCATACATCCTTAGCAGCATTAGACGTGGATCACTTACACCTGTTGAACAGAACGACATTCTAGGCTCAGATAGGGTTTATATTGGGACAAAGAGAAAATAGTGGGGAACGGAAACTCTATTCCAATCCTCAAAACAGAAACGATCCCCTTCGTAATGTTATATCTAATAGTTTTATTTCATCACCGTTTGAGCTATCAGATACCTCTTCGTAAAAGGGCAGATCATTGATGTGTAGGAAGAACAGGTTCCTGAAGTCTTACTCAAACAGTACAAATGCTCGAGGAAGATCCTTCGCTGAATTTTTACTAAGCGAATTTCAGAGAGAACTCCTTGTTGTATGATGACAGGTACTATGCTCCGTTGAATAAACATCGAGTCGCTCTTGTAGTTGCTCATGAACTTGCTCATCAGGTTTGAATTTCATAAATTTAGAGTTGGTTTTCAGAAAGACGTAGCGTACCATAGAAGCTTTGGTCAAATTCAGGGCACTGGTACTGAATCTAGCAGATATGATTGATAGAAAAAGCCACCAAGGAAGGAGACTCAAAAGGTATTAGGGAGAGAGAGATTCATGAGGAACTTAGCAATCCGGGTCGGAGAACAGAAAAATAAAAGGAAGTCTTCGCTGTTGATCAATCCCTTTGTGGGATGCGGCACGCATTCTACTTCCATTCAGAATCGTAGTGGCTTATTGAATGCGATGTGGCCTATACAATGACTTGCGGGGCCAGCCGATGTACAATTCAGTGTTATCCTCACAAACGAATCTGGTACCAATTTACCGTCCCCGGGGTAGAAGGCTTGGTTGGCCTGGGCGGGAGTCGACCCGGGATTCGAACCCGGGACCGCGCGAGTGGTGAGCGCGCCACTTTCCACTACACCATCTTCTGCCCCGGCTCGTAGAATATTTCGAAATTTCAAAACGCCCGATTTCGAGGTGTAAAGCGCGGAGCCTGCCAGAGAAAGTAGATTTCTAAATATTAACTATTGCTCATCAGAACTTCATGAAATCGTTGCTTCAGTGGTTTGGCAACCTTGTCACTTTGAAATGGTGGGATGATTTGTGGTTGAACGAGGGTTTCGCAACTTTCATGGAATACATTGGGACCAAGGAGATTAGCGATGATAAATTCAGAAGTGTAAGAAAAATTTATATGTTACTGATTACTTTCCTTCCAATGAACTAACATAAGTAACTCAAATGAGTGTGGACTACTTCAGAAGGACTATTTCCTACTGGACACCATTGGAGGCGCGTTGGAAGCGGACGCAGTAGCTTCTAGCCATCCGCTTTCCTTCAGTATAGACAAAGCTGCAGAAGTGTATGAAGCTTTTGACTCTATCACATACGATAAGGGAGCGTCGATTCTTACTATGCTGCAGGCTTTAATTGGAGAGGATAACTTCAGACAGGCCATTACGGTATGTTACAGTACCTGAAGCATGTTATTGCAGTAGCTGAAGTATCATACATATTAGGTTGACGAGGAAGTAAGGGCACATTTTCCCAAGAAGTGGCTAATCCAAAGCAAGGAACTGAAGGCGAAGATCCTGGCAACATTTCAGTGGCTCTCCAGAGAAACCCGAAAGTTGCCAAATTCCATGATGGAAGCTGATATCCTGCACCTGCAATAGAACAGGCCCTTAGTCACAGTCGTTCCTTCATCTCAGGGAGCCTTCATCCGCTAGGATGTAGGAAAGCGCAGTCTAAGTCTCCAACTAGCTTATTCTCCTACAATAACAGGTGTCCTTTTCTCAGTGTCTCGTCCCCCCCCCTCCCGGGCACACACCAGAAGAATTTCATGCCAATAATGTTTCATGTTCATGTATTGGGATGGCCCATATGTATGTAGTTGCTTTTTTATCTATATTGGTATTTCGCGTCAAGGGCAGAGTCTTCACCGATGACTTCCATGTTGTCTGATAGAGGACTTCCTACCCTACAACAATGTCATGCTGACGTTCGTTTGAAAACCTATTGCCCATTGATTTTCAAGGGTCAATGTGGTATTCATGTCGAGTCGGCCAACGTCGACCACCTCTCTTTTTCCACTTGATGAAGAAGCTGAAACCGTAGAGGCACTTCCAATAACTATATGGCCGAAAAATTTAGCCCGTTAGGAGGCATACAACAATTGAAGCAAATCAAAAACTTCAGTTCACGGGCTACTGTCGAACCTTCTACACTACTGGTTTCATTTGAGAGCCTAATGAAGCGGCCTATTTCAGGAGATCCATGCCAAATGGGAAAATGGTAGAGTTCATAGAGAGTCTCTACATCCTCATCGAGCATAACCGCCACTGATGGGGAGGTAAACTTGGTGCACGTGTACTGTAGACCGCCACCCTCTGAGAGGGCGCCCATGCGATGAAATTTATGGAGTCCTAATTCCCGTCTCTTAATAGCTTGTCAAAAGAGCTTCTCTTGGTCACACCCCGAAATAGTTATGGGCTGCTTCTGCATTCTGAGAGTCTTGATTGAATACCAAAAGGTGTCAAATATCCTCACTGTCTGCCCGGCATTGCACTTTGATGAACTAAAAACTGACAAAAATTGAGAAGAATGGGAAACTAAGCACATGGGCTGCACACAACTGTGTAAAGAAAAACGCCACTGCTCCAACCCAATAATCACTGGAAATGTCGTAAATGCGTCTTGTACTAGAACGATATGCTGCCCGCTCCCTAAGTTCTCCCCAAAAGGAAACCGTCTGCACCTCTAAAATCAGACATACTTTTCAAGAGGGGTCCTATTGATGACGCGCGTCGCCAAAGGATTCCCATTTTTTGCCCTGAAGGAGATGGCAAGACTAGAACAGTTCTGACGATTTGCACACACAGCCTATGGTAAGCCCAGTGACCAAGTGAAGTGGAGGTTATCCTTCCTCGGCACTACCTATCTTGGTTCTGCCGTTCGCGTCAGAGATGAGGGAGGCGCTCCTGGATTGTGGGCCCCACACACCGTGTTCGTCTACTTGGCTCCTTCCAGTTTCTACCTTTCTAGGGCATTATCTGTGACGAAAGAGCTTCCGAACTTCAGACAACATTGCCTCCCGGTCAAATTTTCCCAAGCACAACCCCAAATGATCTGAAAGGAAACATCCGGGCGCCTGTGAATGTATTGAAGAAGATCGCTCATAGACCAATTGTTGCGGAATGTAGGCATTTATAGCCAAGAAATTATGTGACACATCCGCCATAGGGCCAGTTGTTTGTACATTATTATTTTCTGAACGCTTTAACCTGCAGGTGTGCCTTCGTTTGCATAGCAAAGTAGCCCAGTGGACTCTTGGTGATTATAATTTGTTGAATTTGGTGATATGTGTATTTCCAGCGATACATCAAGAAATTTTCGTACAACAACGCACAAGCTTCCGATCTGTGGGAGGTTTTTGACGAACATGTAAAAAATATAACAGGCCCCGACGGTAGTCCAATGAAAACCACTGAATTCGCCTATCAGTGGACGACTCAGGTAGAAACTTTTGCTCATAACTAGTTGCGCCTCAGCCTCCTTTCTTCTCAAAATCTGCCATGTCTTTTGAGTATTCCAGATGCGTCCTACAGTCAGTGTTTCGAGCGTTCATCGCAACGACTCTTAAAAGCTAACGCACGTCGCTATAACAAGAAGAATAAAGATGCTCAGGAGTTGGAAAAGTATCGCCATCCAAAATATGGGTTAGCAAAATTTTTGGAACATTTCCATCTTCATATAACTGATTAGTTAGGTCTTCTGTTTCTCATTTTTCCTTACAAAAGAGCACTTTCTTATAGATTCAAATGGGATATTCCTCTTTGGTATCAGGAGCACGATAAGCAAGTAGAGCGGACCTGGTTGAACAGAGGTACGATGTTTGATTACATACTGTTCAGAGTAAGGTAACTAGGTCGAAAAACAATGCAGAATAGTTCTTCTAAATAGAAGAACTATTCTGCATTGTTTTTCTTAAGCTAGATGCTACGCTTTTAGAACAAAAAATAGTAGAGTGGAAATACCTGTGGGGCAGTAGAAATCGAGCTTGTTCCGGACTGTGAATAATACGAGGAACTTGTTACTACAACAAGACGAAGTGACTACGTGAAGTAATGAAACAGGTGCTGATAAGGACGCAGTGAGGTTGGCTGGTGCTTGGACACCCGCGACAGAGTGTCAAAGGAGTGAGTTGTTGGTTGGAAACGACCCCTCGAGGGCTTCTTTCCGCGATGTTTCCTGTTTCTGACAGAAAAGATTCGCCGAACATGGAGCTAAAAGAGGCAGTCACGCGATTGTTTAATCCAGTGTACACACAGCTGGTTGGAAATTTTGACAGTCAAGATGGAGGAAGGGTAGATGACCAAGATCTGTGAAGCAGCTTACGAAACAAGGAGCATCAGAAGAATGATTGGCCATCGTGCCTGAGCACATTTTCCCTTTCGCTGCGGAACAAATCCACTGAAAAACGTACATCCGGAAACGCGATCTGTTGTGTAGAATAAATGGTCTTCTTCTGTAGGAGAAGCGCTTTGATATTCTAAAAATTTCAGTGCAACCTGTGTCACATTCAGTGCTTGATCTACTTTGGAGTCGTCTACGAAACGCTTTTTCGTCTTGATCTCGGCATGTTTTATTTTTTAGAGGAACCGCTTTATCTTCACGTCAGCAATACTGATAAACCGGTCGTGGTGAATGCTGATCGGCACGGATTTTACCGGCAAAATTACGATGTTAATGGTTGGAGAAAAATCACAGCACAGCT